ATTCAACTCTTGCTTTGCCCTTGTTCTCTTGGCTAGCCTTGAATGCTAAGTCTTTCTTCTTGGTGGAAGAAGAGCCATCTTGTGGTGTGATGTGCATATACATCTCATGTGCATTGATCTTTCCCAATATTTAAGTTGGTGTAGAGGATGAAGGATCACCTTGATGAAGCACGGTCACAATATGCTCATATTTGTCAATGGGGAGGACACTCAAGATTTTTCTTACAATATCGGAGGGTTGCATTTGTGTAAATCCTAGCCCATTGACTTCCTCTACAAGAACATTTAAGCGTTAGTATATCTCATTAGTACTTTCTTTAGGAAGCATCTCAAATGAATTAAGTTTTTTCATAACTAGATGATAGCGTTCCTCACGCTCACTCTTTGTTCCCTCATGGAGCGCACAAATGTCTGACCATAGTGCATGGGCGTCCTTATGGTTCTACACACGGTTAAACACATCTTTACAAATGCCTCTAAAGATGGTGTTTCTAGCCTTTGCATTTTATTTCTCATAATTGACTTCATCACCTTAAAGGTGTGTGGGATCCTTAGGTTTTCGGAAACCTTGTGAGACAGCTCTAAGAATTCCAACATCTAGAGCTTCTAAATAAGCCTCCATATGGATTTTCTAATAAGAAAAATCATCTCCCTCAAAGATAGGAGGAGGTCCATCCCCAGTAGGACATCTTTCTCTAGGCAAGTTAAGCCTAATTTAGTGAGCACGAGGCTCGATACCAATTGAAAGGATCAAGATACCTAAGAGGGAGAGTGAATTGGACTAATTCCAAAATTCTTTCAATAATTAAACCCTACACTTAGCCCACTTCACCCCTTGTGCCTAGAATATGTTCCTATTGTTCTACCGCACAAAAGTTTTACACCCTAGGTTCCAATCTTACTCTAGCATGGTAATTCTAAGAATGTAAAGACAAGAAATGAATTGTTCAAATATAAATGCTTAAAGTAAAGAGAAAAGAAGGAACGCGGCGATATTTTGTCGAGGTATGGAGAGTCGCCACACCCCACTAGTCCTCGTTGGAGCACCCACGCAAGGGTGTAGCTCCCCTTGATCCGTGCAAGGATCAAGTGCTCTCTACGGGCTGATTCTTTGACACTCCGTCGCGGTGAATCGCCCACAACCGCTCACAACTTGAGTTGGGTCATCCACAAGCTCCGCCGAATGATCACCAAACTCTCAATCACCACCAAGCTGTCTAGGTGATGACGATCACCAAGAATAATAAGCATAAACTCTCACTTGACCACGACAAGCCTAATGAGAAGGGTGGATGCACACTTGCTACTCTCCTTGCACTAATGAGGCCTTAATCTTGGGTTCTCAAATCTCAATCACCTCACTAGGCTCTTGCTCTCCTTTGCACTCTTAAGGGTGTTTCTCAGCTGAACAAATGGGCAAGAGACCTCCCTTGGATGAGTGGAGTAAGTATTTATACCCTCTCATTCAAAACATAATGTTTGGAGGTTGAGTCATCACTCTGCGGGGTGACCGGACGCTCCGGTCAGGATGACCAGACGCTCTAGTCAGTTATCCCCATCACTATGTCAGAAAGAGCCGTTAAGTTCTGACCGGACTCTGACCTACGTCCGGTCACGAAAACTGCTCTCTAGAACCTTACTGATGTTGACCGGACGCTGGCACCTAGAGTCCGGTCACTTCGCTGTTCAGTGTCCGGTCAGTACTGACCGAATGCGTTCAATCAGGAATCTCCCTCTCTGGAACCTCTTTGGAGTTGACCGGACACAGGCACCCAGTGTCCGGTCACTTTTCACTCAGCGTCCGGTCACAACTAGACGGCTCCAGTTGATCAAATGAACTGACCGGACTCACCCTTCAGCATTCGGTCACAACCAGACCAGCGTCCGGTCAGTCATTTGACCCTCCATTCACTTCCAACTCAAAATCATATGTGAATGAAGTTTGCTCCAGTTGATCTTAGGGCTACTCCGGAGCTACCTAGTGCTAGATTTGACAAGTGTGCACAACACCTAACCCACTAGACTCACTTAGGTCAAGCTACTAGTTCATACCCCCCTTAATAGTACGGCCAAAGGAAAAAAAGTCCTAAACTACTCTAAGTGTCTCTTCAACACCAAACGACACTTAGAACTAGTCCATCCTTAACATTATCGTCCATCCTTTGAAAACCGAAACGATTTACATCGTAGGAGCATGACAACCATGATTGCCCAATCAATTGCCATTACCATGATCTAACTTAAATTGCCTCTATAAAACACACGTTAGTCATAGTAATCTCGTATTGTTATTAATCATCAAAACTCAATTAGGGGCCTAGATGCTTTCAGGTAGCGAGCTTTCAAGTGATCCCACATTTCCTTCGCCGTATTGTGATCCTCAAGACATGAGTGAATGCTCAACTCAACATTCATGCCGATAGCAGCCATCACACGGTCATCATCAAGGCGCCAAGCTTTGACCGCTTTATCATTAGCATCATTTGAGGCTGCAGGTGGATCCTCAGTGAGATGTGAGGCATAACCACAAGCTTGCAGCAGCATTTTGAGAGAGAAAGCCCATTCTCTATAATTTTGACCATCGAGCTTCACGTCCAGGGGTGGCAAGCCAAAAGAAAAGGCCATAGGCATGGAGGATGACACATCACCACTAGGAGATGTAGTGGTGGTGCCATGGTAGAAAGTGGCGGTGGAGAAACAGACTGGTACAACAGATCGGCAAAATCAAGCAAAGCAAAGACGAACAAAGAAGCATGAGCAACAAAGAGGCGGGGCAGCAGAAGCAAAGCAGCAAGAGAGCAAAGACGGACGGACGGTGAAAAGGGCAACCTTGAGGAGGGGCGCGGAAGGAAGGTCGATGCTGCTGGATGAAGTCAGTCGCCAGCATCCATCAGTGCAGAGGTGTTGGATGCATGGAGGCTGGGAGAACCTAGCTTTGTTACCATGTTAGGAAGAATGACCTCACACCCATTCAATGAGTCTAGGGTTCCAGTATATACAAGTATGGGCCAAATTGGGCCATAAGGCCTACATGGGCCAGAAAGAGAGAAGACAGAAAATCACATATATATGTACATATTAACAGATACATATGCAGTGAACACACAAACTGAAAAAATCGAACCGAGGAGAAAACAAAGGAGAAAAATCGCATGAGGTCACCACAACCTCGCTCCTGGACTGCTCTGCTGCCGCGCCGTCGCTCTTGCACGTGTCCTCGCGGCCGCCGGTCAGCTGTCGCCCCTGGTTGAGGAGGAGCAGGGACGCCACTGTGCTAGGGCCGAGGCGGGGAAGGAGAGGGGTGCCACTGCGCCAGGGCGGGGAAGGAGCATCCGAGCAGGGCGTCCCTCTGCGGTAGCGGGAGGAGCAGGGACAGGGCCGATAGGGGGGGGAGGAGGAGGGCGCGCAGGGCGGCACAAGGACTCCTGGTAGCGGCTGGGAGGGAGGAGTGGAATGGAGTAGGGTTTGGGGAGGTTGTATATATACCAAGGCCTGCTGGGCTGGGCCATTTTCTTTCTAATTACTAGGCCTCATGGGTCACTTCAGTTATTTCGGTTGATCGAGCTTAAGAACCGAACTAACCTGACTTATTTCGGTTACTTGGAACTGAAAACCGAACTAGGAAACAAAATATTCAGTTTCGGTTAATTCGGTTTCGGTTATTCAGTTTCGGTTATTCGGTTTGGTTTTTGGTTCTTGGTTATTTTTACCCAGCCTTAGGCGCAGGTGTCGGAGCCACATCCGGACACCTGGGCGCTAGGTGTATAGTTGTTTATTTCCTGCGGGGATGCACTGCCATTATTGGCTTCAATGCAATTCCTGATTTGCTTTGCCGGTGAATGCCCCGGACATGCTGTCATGCGGTGATTACGAACTAATAGTACTTCTGCACATATATATACTACTAGTTTATATCAATGCATCATATGATATGTATAGCTTCCTGTACACAGTTCATGTACCGGTTATGTATTCCATTGTTATTGCCTTATTGCATTCTTGGCTTTCCTTTTCATCATAATCATAGGTTCACGGAGAATACATGTCAGGCCAACAAGATCAGGGCCGGGGCTGCATATCAGAAAATATGTTGCTATACTAGCCTTCGTGTGGCCGACCAAGCAGTACACGTCCCTAAAAAATCAAGCAGTACACTTAGAAGAAAAATTTTCCAGCTCAGAGACTGGAATTCAGACTTAATCTATTACATGATTTGAATAATTGGTACCATTTATGTTATGTGATGACAATTGATATACTACACTTGCCGTGTTGGATAGTTATCAATAGATATGTCCCATATAGCGCGTTATCATAAATCTACATGCTTGATGACGACAATGTATGTTATTGTTATCAATAGATACATATCCCATTTGTTTTATGGCAGGAACATCAGTATGGACAACATTGGCATCTAGATTGTTGGCGGCTTCAACAATCATGTCGACGTAGAGTTTGTCGTGTTGAGAGCGTGTTGTAAATAAATATGTTGTCAGCGATTAGGATGTTTCTCTCTCTTTCTCCGAATAAATATGTTGTCAGCGATCAGGATGTTTCTCTCTCTCTCTCTGAATAATGAACACTACTGAGCTCCAACGTATATATTGTACGGCTAAGATCGAATTTAGTAAAAGTCCTCCTTTTTAGAGTCTATATTTGTTTTACAACACCAGCTATTTTTTTCTCTGAATTTATATAGCAGTTATATATATTAGATTAGATACTAATTATGGACATGTAGCGTAAATCCAAACGTGTCCACGGTTGCCATGCATGAGTGCAGTCCTACCGAGTTTTTTCCGTATGGGATGGACGTGTCCACGATTGCCATGAATACATACAGTACGTCCCTACCTACCGAAAAATTTTCCGTACCCACGCATACATATATTGTCGATCCGACACGCCCCGTACCCTCACGCTCATCCTCCTCCGTGCCACCCGTCCTCGCAGCCGAGATTGCCGCTGTCGCCGCCGCCGCTGCTTGAAGAAGCATCATGGCCGCCGAACCCAGAGCATGCGACATCTACAGAACTCGGGACGTACAGGGCTTCCACTTCCGGGTGAGCCACCCGGCTACCAAGAATCTCGCCGCCGGCCAGTACGTCGAGAAGGTCTTGGCGTTAGTCAACGGATTCAGGGTCACCGCAAGATGCTGGCCCCGCTGGGAAGGCTTCATCAAACTCTCCGTCGTCATCACCAGCTTGCTGAGCCAACAGAGGGTCCAGCCTCCCAAGGTGGCTGCGGCAAGCATAGAACTTCGGAACAGGGACGGGCTGCCGGTTCGCACGGGCAGACAGCAGCCTGAAACCGTCACCGGAGATTGCTTTGGAGGAACCATACTCTACGTAAACAGAGATGAGGTCGAGAAGGATTGTCTCGTAGACGACCACTTCACCGCGATTTGCACTGTGACCATCCTAAGAGACTGGCCGCCATTGGACCTTCCCGTTCCTTACAATCTAGGAAGCGTCATATTCACCATGCCAGATCTCAGCGATGTGTCCTTCCAAGTAGGGGGACACACTTTCAAAGCGCACCGCCTTGTTCTCGCCGCCTGCTCACCGGTGTTCAAGGCGATGCTGTTCGGCGAGATGGTTGAAAACAGGGCAAGCACCATTGCTATCGAAGACGACACGAGGCCGAACACCTTTGGATGCATGCTCTATTACATGTACCACAATGTGCTGCCGCCGGCTGCAGCCGGGATGGGCGACGCTGCTGAAAAGACGGAGTTTCAGCATCTGTTTCTAGCTGCCGATAAGTATGGATTGGACAAGCTGAAAGAGACGTGCGAGGAGATGATGTTCGCTGGCATCACAACATCCACGGTGCTGTCGATCATGGAGTTCGCGGAAGAGCGTACACGCCCTAAACTGAAGGCCAAGTGCCTTGATTTCCTTACGGTTCCTAGAAATTTCCAAGAGGTGGCTGCAACTCAGGAGTACCTTGATTTGATGACCAAGCTCCCGTCTTTGCTAGCCGAAGTACGGGACAGTTGCAAGAGACCACGAATAGTGGTGTGAAGGGCTAATGTATTACTCCTACTAACATGTATTTGTCGGCTATCATTCAACGAAAAATCATGACACTGATGAGGTGGGAGGATATATTTGGTGTAATCAGAGAGCGATCCGACAAGATCGCGCGGAGTCCATATTTATAGCGTTAAAAGTTTTGCTAACAAGTACACATTTAGGTTTCTAGTCTTGTGTTATTACTATTATGCCCTAGATAGAAGAATTATGTGAGCGTCATCACTAGCTTTTCAGAGACCTGCAAATTAAAGGTGCTCTTCAGAGTGAGCTCCACTGTGGATGACGTGCATGTCTTGTTGACGTGAATATCACAATTGTATGTGTCAGTTAGATATAATTATATATCCTAGTGGATTCTTTGAGGTGGACAATTTGCATATAGAGATAGAATGTTAGTGACGTTAGAATTATAAGAGATAGAGATATATATTTAATTGAAAAAAATAGTTAAAACTTAACCCTAATGCATTTAAATAGGACTATTTTTTTTAGCAAGGCTTCAACTAGTTTTAGTGAACAATTGCTTGTATTTGCTAGCCGAAGTATGAAACTGGTGCAAGAGACCACCACTAGTGTGAAGGGCTAATTGATTATTTTTTTAGTATTATACAGTACAATGCAGACACTTACAACACGTGCATACTCACTTCTAAGAATGCACGCATGCAAACTCTACCCCCCTATGAGCCTTTTTAAGACTGGTCCGACAAATCCTCGAGATTGACGAAGTCATCACAGGTGCTTCGTTGTTGACAGGAACGTCGCCTACCACTGAAAGCATAACGCTGTTAAATCCGGTAATATTCGTTCCCACAGAGAGTCCGGCCCAGAACCTAACCAGGATCAGACCTGAGAACCTGAGGTGATGGTATATGATTGTACATGAGGTGCTACTAATGCCGTTACATACCAACATGATAGTTTGGTGCATCCTTTTTTTGCATTATGAGAAGGACCAGCATGGACACGTGGTGATCATCTAAGTAGTGTTGTATCCAAGGCCGCGTTTAGTTCCGGCCAGATTCGGCACCGGCTGAATTCGCTGGCACTGTAGCTACACTGTAGCGTTTTGTTTTTATTTGGTAATAATTGTTCAATCGTTGACTAATTAGGCTCAAAACGTTCGTCTCGCAAAGTACAACCAAAATGTGCAATTAGTTTTTGATTTCGTCAACATTTAGTACTCCATGCATGTACCGCAAGTTTGATATGACGGGAAATCTTCTTTTTGTATAGTGCCAAAGTTGAGAGTTTTTGTGAACTAAACGAGGGCCAAAACGTAGTACGACACCATCGCATATAATTTACCGAGAGTCCCTGTCTACCGCGCCCACGCAAACTGACATCATCAGTGGACGGTGTGGAAAAAATTCTATGCCACGTTGCGTGAGGAGAGTGTGTCCATGCTAGTCCTTCTCATGATGCAAATCACGTCGTGCGAGGAGAGCAAACCCTGACTCTCGGCTGGTTGATCAACCGCAGAACGTGCAATCGGGCCAGGATACCACGCGGTGATAATCGGGACGGTGTCACACAGAAGCCAGGTGCAACACCGTCACATAGAAATTCTTTCCGGAGCATGAATATTTTGATGCATCCTTTTTTTTTCATGGAAAAAATCTACATGAGCCCCTGGCCTTTGCACCTGTGTCTAATTCACCCCCTGAAGTATAAAACCGTGTATTGACCACCCTAAACTCTTTCAAACTAGTTATTTAACCCCTTCTAGTGGTTTTGGCTCCTGGTTTTGTTGATGTGGCAGGCTCACCTAGACACATTGATGTTTGGGCCCATGCGTCATAGGAAGCGAACGAGATGCACATACGCCATCTACATGTGGCAGCGTATAACGGCGGCCTGAGCGGCTGAGCGGATTCTTGCACGGGCGCTTAGCAGAGGGACGGAAAAGGGAGCAAAGGGGCAGCGGACGGCCCAAGAGCCAGCGGCGACGCTAAAAGGCTGGGACAGAGCTGCAGGCCGCCGGTGGCGCTATATATATATAATATTTAGGAAAAATAAAGAATCAAATTAAGCTTGTACTGTACGTGTGCATGCATAATCTGTGCTCTTTGGAGAGGCAAGCAGATAGCGAAGGAACCTAGTAAATTGCTCTGGCTTTTACGCCTTCTATTTATAGGAGAAGATGAAGCGAGCTAGTTGCATATGAAATGCTGGAGCCATCAGGGGCCCGCCAAACCCCACAACTGAGGACCAGGCACTCCGCGGAAGCAACACGATAACATACAGAGGTTCCTGGTCCATCAACGCGAGGCAGCTGGTCGAGAGCCGGCGCCCAGCGTTCTGCACGCCATGCGGGTCATTGCCATGCATGGCCATATCAACGAGGCGGCGAGGCCGCAGTCCGCAGAGGATGATGAAGGCGCCGAATTGGAGCACCCACTGGGGCGTTATGCCTGGCAAGAGCACAGCCTGCTCGGAGACGACGCTCTCGAGGGAGGCCTATGCAATTATGCTGGTTGGCGACAACGCGCTGGCACTGGCGTCCGGAGTCCGGAGCTGGCAACGAGCTGGTGGCCTTGAGGAGCAACGGTTGCGCGGTGCCGCTGGCCTCCGGAGTGAGAAACGGGAGATAGGGAGGGGGCGTGGCGACATGCCGGCGGCGGCATGGCTGTTGTGGCGGTGGCGAGCTGCGTGGCTTGAGCGTCAACGTATCAAGGCGAACCTGCAGCTTGAACTGCCAGGTCAGCAAAACCATGAACTAAAACCACTGAAAAGGATTAAATACCTGGTTTGGAGAAGTTGCTCGATACACAGTTTTATAGTTCAGGGGTTGAATTAGAGATAGATGCAAAGGTCAAGGGATTATTTAGACTTTTTCCTTTTTTCATCATGAGAAGGACCAGCATGGACACGTGTGATCATCTAAGTAGTGTAATATCCAAAGCGTAGTACGACACTGACGCATATAATTTACCCCGAGTCTTTTGTCTACCGCGCCCACGGAAACTACATCATCAGGAGACGCCATGGAAAAAAAATTCTATGCGAGAAGAGCGTGTCCATGCTGGTCCTTCTCATGATGCAAATCATGTTGTGCGAGGAGAGCAAACCTTCTCGGCCGGTTGATCAACCGCAGAACGCTCAATGGGGCCAGGATGCCGCACGGTGATAATCGGGCCGGTGTCGCACCGAAGCCAGGTGCGACACCCTCGCATAGAATTTCTTTCCCTTTGATTAGAGCGCTTCCATCTTTGGCTCACGAGACCTGATTGCATGATTGAATAGGATTTCTTCTTTTAAAAAAAAGCTAGTTTCCTTTCCTTCTAAAAAAGCCGTAGAGTTTGTTTCCTTTTAAAACATGAGCATCCATAAACAAAACAAAGAGAGGCCTTGTCCTATTCTGAATTTGCAGTTGGATATAATTTCCATGTGTGCAGATGCAGCATCAGTTAAAAGGCTGCTTCCTGCCCCGTTTGCCGGCTGCGGTTCCCGGTAAGCTGACTATTCCCTCTCTCAACCCTCTGGGCTGTAGCGAAGTCGCACTTGTCCCGCCGCATCGACGAAACTATCTCATGGCCGAACAGAAAGCATGCACGGTCTTCCACGCCCGGGAGTCCAAGTCCTTCAATCTCAGAGTAAACAACTCGCCCACTAAGCATCTCTCCGGCGACGAGTGCATGGACATTGACGTCTCCATCCCTGCCGCTGCCGGCTTCACATGCACCGCCAAGTACTGGCCGAATTGGCAATCGTCTGACTACATCAAGATATCTGTGGTGATCACTCGCATGGATGACCAGCACCATCAGCAGAGGCAGCATAAGCTCCTGGCGGCGCATATTGATCTGCCAGCTAGGACCGGCCTGACACCTCCTCCTGTAACGGTCAGACGAGAAACTGCCACCGCAGATTGCAATTGCAATGAAGGCATGGTCCGACGAGAACCCGCCGTCACCACAGATTGCAAGGAAGGCATGGTCAAACGAGAACCCGTCGCCACAGATTGCAAGGAAGGCGTCTCTTTGATCGCAAAGAGGTCTGACGTCGAGGCGAATTGCGTCGTCGAAGACCACTTCACCGCGATTTGCATGGTGGCGGTCTCAAAAGTCTGGCCGCCGCTGCCGTTGCCGACGCTGTCTAGACTAGAGCATGATATTCTCATGACCTCCGATCTCACCGATGTCTCCTTCCAAGTCGATGGGGAGACTTTCAGGGCGCACCGCCTCGTGCTCGCGGCGCGCTCTCCAGTGTTCAGGACAGAGCTCTTCGGTCGTCGTCAAATGGCTGAAAGCAGCCAGCAGGAGAGCTCTATTGCCATCCAAGACATGAAGGCATCCACCTTCAAATCCATGCTCCATTACATGTACCATGGCTTGCTGCCTGCCGAGACCGCTTGGCCGGTGTCGGAGTTCCAGAATCTATACGTTGCTGCCGATAAATACGGGCTGGACACCCTCAGACGTGCGAGGAGATACTATGTGCTAGCGTCACCACAGATGCGGTGCTGTCAAACTTGCAGTTTGCCGAAGAGCGCGCATGCCTGAAGCTCAACAACCTGTTCGTTTCGGCTGAAACGATCGTGAATTATTACTGCTGGCTGGTTTGGTGTGTGAGAGAAATATTGTTCTGATTTATAATCTACGATCGTTTACGACCAAGTCCAGGTGCCTCGATTTCCTTGCGGATGGCGAAAAATTCAAGGCGGTGGCGGTAACCAACGAGTACATCGACCTGATGAAGAAGGTCCCGTCTTTACTAGACCATGTGCAGAACCGATTCAAGAGGCCACGACTATCGTGAACAGCGGAGTTGTTGGGTATGATCAGCTATATATCGAGTTTTGGCGTCAGTTAGTTTGATTAGCAGCATAAAAAGTTCAAGTAGGCTGATCTTTGTTCCCTTATTAAAAAAAAAAGTTCAAGTAGTATTTATTTTGCAGAAGATCCTTAACTTATACTCACTCCATACTAAAAAATGAAGTTGTTTTGACAAGACTTTGGTCAAATATTTGGAATACAAATCATGAA